AATAACCACCTGGCATAGTCAGGTGAAGGCCGAGGGGGCAGTCCGCCTCTGGTGACATCAATGTAGAGGTGACGCAATAACTCAAAATTGTTAATTCACGTTCGATGATAATAATAATAATAATAATAATAATAATAATAATAATAATATATTTGGAAGATATAATTGAGTTTGAAATAGACATCTACATAATCACAAATACTGCGTGACCGGATAGTGTTCGAAAACTGAGAAAACGAGGAGAATCCTAAACTTAACAAAACGGAGAGTGACGATTGTTCCAGGGTCAACAGGGTTCGAGAGGTCAGTCGAAACATCTGAGCTCCCTAGGTCACCCGCAGAAGATCGGGGTTCTCTGTGACGTGACAGTGCAAAATATAATGGAATATTTTGTAATGTCTCCAATTAGGATTTGAAATGAGAAATATTCCTAGAAATAACTCATAATAAACACAAACAACGAAACTAAAGCTAAACCGTGGACAAGAGCACAATGGAGAACATTTATTTTACGTCCACTTGCTTTGACAAGCCCAAAAGTCCGACAAGCTGAGGGTAGGGTAAGCACCGAATGTTTGGCACTCGAGTCTCAAGCAAGCGAGTCTCAAGTCTCTAGCAAGCGAGTCTCTTCTTCGATTCGGAGACCGTCCATTCGCTGTAACGAAGCGTCTACTCGCGGAATACCGAATGTGTGGAGCCGCCTTGGCACATTCTCCGCTCGCCTTTGGTGCCGTCGTTTAGCCCCACTGTGCAGCAGAGGTGGCAGCCGGCCGGCGCGGGGCGGCGCGACGTCGGACCAGCAGCGGCGGCGGCAGCCAGTGTGCGGGGCGGGGAGCGGCGTGGCGGGGGCAGCGGCACAGCAGGTTCCGGTTCCCGCATTCTTGGCCTCCGCCACCGCCACCACCGTCCCCGCTGCGTGCTGGCCCGCCGCGCGCGCCATCACCGCCGCCGCCACCGCCGTCGCGAGCGACTTTTCGGGCTGCGCTGCGGCACGCGGAAGCTGCGTGTGTCTCCCCCTTCAACCCCACCCCCACCCCCTCCATGTCAACCCTCCCCCTCTTTTGGCGCCTGCCACGCGCGCGCCTCTGCGCACAGCGATTGCTTCTTCACACATCAGCGTTCGGAAGCCGCAAAACAGCCAAACCCTTTTAGAGGGCCACTGAATCTTATACACGGTTTCTGGCAGGTCTATACATTTTATTAGTAATTGTGAGTTTTCTGATGAAATGTCTTTGATTGTGCTTTATACTATATTAATCACTCGTTGCTGTAAAGTAGATCACGGGGTTGTTATAAATAATTGAAATAGTTTTCCAGGTGACAAGATCAAGATAAAAATTAAAAAAATACCAATATATAAAATAGCATGTGGCCATTAATATTCAGGTTTTAAGATATAAGGGCAAATAAGTAACGTGCAAAATAAATTATAATAAAGAACAAAAATAAATAAGTAAATCAGATGGACGTCCTTCATAATTTCCGTAATGTCATATCGCAATGAACAACGGTGTCAGCTAGTGTCCTCTGAACAATGCTTTCTTTTCAGAACACGTCTGCCCTGTTATTCACCTGTTATGTTGTGTAGTTATTATCGTAATGGCCGTAAAGAGCAATGGCGGTGCCATTCTATGCTCGGCTTTTGGGCGCGCAGAGTAACAATGCCCCGCTGTGCAGCTGTTCCCCCCTCCCCTTCTCCCTCCTCACGTGCTCCCCGCTGCCATGAGGCACACGCCACGCCGCACGCACCAGCACAGGTCAAAGGCAGAAGACTAGGAGCAAGCAAGATCAATCCGATTAACGCTATGACACGCTCAACTGAAGTCAGACCCGGCATCCCACTGCCTTGAGCAAGATCGTACAAACACGCGGTGCAACGACCCACAATCCACAGCTAGCGAGAGAGGATCCAGGTAGAGAAACCAGAATATATCTACCAAGGTCAGACCAAATGAAACAAGTGAGGATCAGCTGCACAGGTCACCGGAGGTTCATATAAACTAATGGACACGCTAATCAGTCTCAATCGAAGGTGTTAGCTAATTAAAGCACTCATGATTAATTCTCTGTTTATTTTTGAAGATAAAGAAGACTTCATTCATTCATTGACTCCTTAAAAACAAATATATATATATATATATATATATATATATATATATATATATATCGTTAGAACAATCAAGTACTACACACAAGTACTACAGGTAAAAAGGGAGTTGAATGCGTGAGGTGATGTTAATGGAACATACGCGTGAATCAGGAACGTTAACAGAAATTCGATACATGGAGGGAGAGAAAGAGTAAACTAACCACGTCTGTTGTCCTCGATACGCAATGCATATTTCATTATTATCACCTCTAAGTAATTACTGGTGGGTATGCTATATTTCCTTCGTTGTACGAAAGTTCTTGGGAAGAGTTTACTCAGAAGGTTATATTTAAGCAATATGAATAAATAGGTCCCATATTTTAACCGAAGCCTTCAACACCAGCAGCAGTAGTATATGATTTCATTGTCACTGGTATTCATCGTGCCTCTTTAACTGATAGTGAACCAAAAATCATTTCTCCTTTGAATGCACGAATGAGTCTTTATTTCAGAACCTAGATGTAGAATAACTAGTGTCAGTTCGGGACTATAAAAAATAAGGAATCGAAGATAGTTTCTGGACAAGTTTGAACCCGCAAAAACATTTCTCATTAAATAGTGACAACACAAACCGATACAAAAGATTTTTTTAGTCGAATATTTAAATAAAACAACAAAAATGCATGAGTTCGTATTGAGAATATAAATATTGGTAATAAATTAGCAGAAAATATTGACCAATAAATTTTCTTTTTCTCTTTGTTCTGCATCTGTATCTTCTTCATCTTTTTTCTTTTCCCAGATCTTTCCGGATTTCTGATTCTCTCTGGTCTTCTATCCTGTTCCTCGTACGCGCTATTCTGGTATGGTTCCTTCCTAGAACCTCATTCCCTGTATCTTGTCACACTATGTCTGATACCACGGTCATTGCACTATCTTCGATGTCATTTCAAAATATCTCTTGCCGCGATCTTGTGTCTTTTCTTCTCAACATGATCGTTTTGATTGAATTCTAATAGTTCCTATCTATCATGGTTGTAAATGAGAAAATTGATGTTTTTACAGCTTTGTGCATAGTGTTGCACAATCGCCCCACCACGAAACACATGCTTATTATTTCTTTTTGCCTAAACTGTATTTTAACTACGTCATAAAGGGCATCATCGTTAACAGGTCTGCATCAAACCTCATAAGTTCATGACTAAATAAATAAATGCAATCAAAACTGAAATGAAAAAAGTCAGTTCTGTCATTGCTGGTAGGCAGGACGTCCCCTGAAGGTTCGTATACTAGTCAAGCAGCAATATACGATGAGTTGCCTACCGATCAGGCGCACTCATCGAAAAATTTATCACATAACTTTTTTTAAAATTTAGATTATCCATCACATATTTATTTGTAAAACTTGATCATATACGATATACTCTACATGCCTTAGAAGTTTGTAACGTTTAGTCTGAACTATTCTGCATTGGAATGGCGCCAGTGAGAGCCAGTGTCGTAGGGGAGTGTAAGTAATGGGCTGACGAGAGGGCAAGGAAGAAAGGAGGAAAGACAAATCGCGCCTGGTTTTTGTAGGGTTCTGCTCCAACATTCGCCTGGTATTTATTGGAGAAACTACTGAAAATAACCGCTCAGAGCATCCGGAAACTAGAATTCTTCTTCATACAGCGGCTGAATTCGAGACCAACCCATCTAGCTAGTATCGAAAATCCTGCCATAGTCGACATTAGAATCTTAGGACTTTCTGGGCAGAGGTACTGCAGTGACATCAATTGATACCCTGAGGCGCTTAAGCCGATGCGTTGGTTGGCCAAGACCAGCGCCCCCTCCTCTGGGCGGGGCTTTGTGAAGGAAGCGCGCCCGCGATGGCGGCCGCAGCTGCCGGACCGACGCGGCCAGCACGCGTTCGCAGGTGGCGGCGCCGCGGGGCACGCGGGGGAACAAGGGGCTCGGCAGGCGCGGCGAAGGGGGCCAGGGGGGGCACTTTCGAGTGGCGGCACGCGCCGGGGCCGGTTTTCCTCCGACACAAAAGCAAAACAAAAGTCCGAAATTATCTTTTCCAATATCCATGATGGAGCACTTGCCCAGGGCTTCGCAAGGTGCCCTGACGACCTCCCTTGTGGGCAGCACTCTCTCCGCTTTCCAAGTTTCATATTCGAAAAAATTGATTATTTGTTATGTAGGTTGAATATATTTCTATGTCAAATATTTGCCAATTAAGGTATTGTTTTGCAACCAAAAAAGTCAAATAGCAACTTTACACTAACAACTTCATATTTCACATGCTATATCATTAAAACCAAATTCATAAGAAAATACATATTTAGTGAAAATGGTCACACATATGATTAAAATGTACAAGTATTATTTAAATTCAAATGGAAAAACCATGCGCAGAAGGATTCCTGACAAGAGGGCATGAACACTAGCCAATATGCATAATAACTGTACGTTAATATTTTTGGTTGTCGAATAAGTACATTGAATGTTGCAGTTGTTGAAAAAAGAAAAAAATACTTTTTTATATGCACAATGTTTGTTTCTAAAAACTCTTCCCAGAGGCATAAAGGAGTCAGAGACCATTATCTCGTCAATTCTAGATACATGAACATATCAGTTCTCAACACAAGGTTTGAGAAATCAGCAAAAGCAAAATTGCTTTGAAATCCATTTTAGGAAATACAGCGATATGAGCTATATACATACACGAGTATATAGCGAACTATGAGCTTCTGGATCACCACTCCACACAACATAAGAACTTAAGAGCTGGTTGGTTACTACAGTCAAAGGTGAGTCTCACAGACAAACACAAAGATCTTCAGTCAATATTGTTGGTTGACTGCTTCTCTAAGAACAGTTACTATCGTTAATTGAAAATGTCTAGTCTGTTTGTTTTGCTTCAGGAAGACTTGCTACAAGAGCTCATGGAATACTGCGACGCCCAACAGAGTGTTGTTTCCCATCTGGTTCCGTGTTCGAGCGCCGAGAGAAACCAATTGAGCGTCTGCGGCGCAGGAGCGCGGGGCGGGTTGATCTCCCGGCGAGAGGATCTGACCGAGAGGCAGAGCAGCTGCGGCGACAGACAAAGAGCAGCGGCGACGGCGGTGGCGGCACCAGGTGCGAGGCCGAGGGCGGCGGCGCGCGAGCCCAAGAGGCAGAGCGCAGAGGCCGCCACCGCCACCGCCACCGCCTTCTCCTCCCCACATGGCGCCCGCTGCCGACCACCTCACAAAAGCCGCGGCCGCAAACACCAGCCCCCACTTCGATTTCGTTTTATTCTCGGCGGCTGGGTTTCCGGGCGGGTGGCGCGAGGGTCGGGCGAGGCCGCTCAGTCCATCGGCCCCCAGATTCCCTCAGGCATCGCGGGTGTTTTAGATGATGACGACCATGTTGATTATCACAATCTACGTAGCGCCAGCGACGGTTCCAGAGGGAGGACCATTCGCATGTCCTGAAGCCAACATTTGTTTGTAATTTTACTTAAGCAATTCAATTAATTAAAAGAATTAACGCTAATTGACTGCATTACATTCATTGGGATATTCATTTGGGAATTCATAATTTCTATTATTTCAAAAATATTTGCAGGGAGGAGTCTCAACTAAAATTGCCTCACCCTCTATGAAATTTTAATTGTTCCGTTCCTTTTGTAAGTACTAACCAGTCAATGAAAAATTCTCAAAATTATTACGGGAAATGAACTCGAAAAATTTGTGAATATGGAAAGAACGAAGAGTTTTTGCACCGCAAATTCAACAAATATCCGATCAGCTGTTTAGCTGACATCCAGCATTGCCGCTGTCTCTGCAGCAACTTTGGCCAGGATAAACTCGTGTTCCGAGTCCCAACAATGGCGGATTTCCAAAACTAGCTGCAGTAAATTCGGCTCGGTAATTTCCTTTGTTTCCACGCAAATGCCGGAGATTTACCACGCAGCCGAAGAACTCTGATAAACGGGGAGGATAGCGCAGATCCTCTTCTATGTTTTAACCTCTTCTCAGACACACACACACACACACACACACACACAGAGTTATATTCACTATGCTGCCACACATGTCAGAGGACCAGTTGGGAGCTTGCGCTTGTCTCAGCTGTAGGAGATACTAGGAGTGGGAAATCCTCCTCAAACCAGTGTGTAGGTTGGCGCCGGACCTCACCATCTGGCGGAGGGCGGAAAAGCGGTACTTTAGGCGCAAAACATACACTACTCTAAGGGGACTAATGACCATAGCAGTTGACATGCCTAAATTTGATTAATTGATAGATTAGTAAATGCGGACACCTCAACTGCAAATGATATTAGTCCCGTAAGTCTAGGGTACGATTTTATCACGGAAGGAGGCGGTAATCTTATCCCTCTGGATGAGTAGATTCACAGCTGACCTACGTCGGCTTGTGGGGATAAATGGTTGGGGATTTCCCAACCATTTATCTCCCACCAGGGTACCAGCAGCTGTGCCTAGCCTCCCATGATGTGGGTTAATGTAATGCATGTACGAGTACGTGTGTGTGAAAGTGAAGGGTGAGGATAGGAAGAGAAAGAAAAGATCGCACGCAATCCATAGACAGTTTTTTAGTGTACCGCTCCGGCATTCGCCTGGTATTTATTGGAGAAACCACACTGGCATGCTGCTGACAATACCAATCAACAAAGATTAGAGCCGAATACTTTGCCTGTAATACCAAAGATCACTCATCTGAGGGGTGAAACGTTTGAAGAACCTTTTTATGTACGCACTAACTTACACGTTTTGCTAAATTTGAAAACCAATTTTGAAATTTCTTTTTAAAGGAGTTATTTACATCCCCACTCAATGATATGTGATATCAATTCTACGGCTGGAGAGAACGAATAAGTTGCAAAACACAGACAAAATTTTCTGAGAGCTTTTTATTCCAAAATTGCGAAACCATCTTTTTCGTACAATACAAAAAGTTTTGATGCAAAAGCAATGGAAAATACGACAACAACAATATAAAATATTGATTTCTAAAATGTAAACAGCAATGGAAAATTCAACATTTTAAAGTTATTTTTTATGGATAATTTCATTTTATTTCGCTTACTATTGATTAAGTTTAAGTTCGTTTCTTTGGTTGCAATCCTTACAAGCAAAGCTACTCGCAATGGAACAATTTCCACAAAGGAAGTATAGGAGGCAAAAGTTAGAATTTGTCTTGGATGAATGCAGACGTTCAATAAGTAAAGGTTTTGTTCGTTTTTACAGTTAGAGAATTATGCTCTTACAAAAGACCACATTGCATATGGAAGGCTGAAAAGCCACAAGACACCGGAGGCGTTGCACATTCTTCTCTCGTCGATGGCGGAGTCATATTTCGTAGCGTTCGACCAGTTCGCGATACACCTGGGGGCGCCTGGAAACACACCGGTCCTTTGGGCTGACTTACGGGTTGAGGAGCAGACGCAACGAGAGGTAGGCTGTGGGCGTGCAGCTGGCGGCAGCGGCGGCGGCGGAGGAGGCATGCTGCGGGCGCCGGCTGCTGCCGCTGCCTCCGCCGCGGGGTCGTGGGCGGGGAAGGCGGGGGCGGAGAGGCACGCGCGCGCCCGCAGCGTGTGGAGTGGAGGTGGGGGTTGGGTCAGTGCCAGCTTTGGGCGCCCCTGCCCGCCCTCGCAGCTGCCGTCGCCTCCCGCCCCGCCCCGCCCCCGCCCCCACCCCTCCCCCCCAGCGCAACTGGCGGCCGCACTCCACCTCAAGTGGCCAAAGGACACGCGTCCGCGGCGCGAATCCGCCACTCGGCGCCCGGCGCAAAGCGCGACCAACGCAAACAAAGCCAGAGCCATAACGCACGCACGCTGCACTCGGGTGTAGACTGATCCTTGCAGGAAATATCAACACGGCCTCACAGAGGATTACTAACGTGAGGGCAGATGTGTCACGAATTGTTCTCGCAGAAGTATTGATTCGGTATTGCGATTCGACTTACCGCTTCAGAATGCATTTAGTTTTCTGAGAAACAACCATTTGTTTTAGGTAGACCAACGTATAGGAGACGACCGTAAGTTTGGCACTAATGAGACGCAAAGAACCCAGCAATAATCACTGCCATTTAAATATAACCTTATAAAATGTACATTTTATGATATTCTAAATCTTTGCAACAATTTCTTAGTTTAATTCTTCATTTCTGAATAAACGTCATTGGAATGATAAAAATCCCTGTTACGCGCACTTTTCTTAAATTTAAAGGTAATCTGCAAAATCTCATTTACTCACTCTATCGTAAGATAATCAATTGATAGTATGCAAAAAGTTCTCGTGTTTGCCCAAGAGATTAAATATGCTTAATCAAGGTTGAAAAACCACACAATATTTATATTATTTTTTAACTTCAATTAAAGAAAAACCCAAGCAATAAAGATGTTTAGAACAAAGTGATATAATTCACTTTAAATTGTCAGGTGTTTGATAATTGAAATATTGATATAAATGTCGCTCATATTTCTCAATATGTCAGTTATGTACCTCCGTCGTGTTGGGGTTGAAAACAACAGAGAAATAACGGAAAGAGTGAAAAATAGTAACCCTGGGAAAGCTCAGATGACAGTGGAGACATCAACCCTGAAGTATTGGCAAAAAGCACATAAGTGCGAGTTATTCTGCCCAAATCAATATTTTTCAATACAATTATATCCAGCTGCTTCTTCATTAAAAGTTTATAATAATGTACGTAAATAATATTTCATTAAAGTAAAATCGTGACTAATACTTTTAAGAAAGTATGGCGTTTCCACGATAAACCACAATCGTAAGATTTCAAGTACACGGGATAATTGGAGCTTTGCATTTGGCTGGTTTTCATGAATATTATTCGCTTGTTTCAGGGGAAAAGAATAGTTCAGAGATGATTAACAGTTTGTATGAGATTCATCTATTTCTTATAAAAAGAATGGAAAGTTAAGAAGGGATTATTCAGGAGCTATATCAAGATATAAGGGTCATTACGTGATATATATATATATATATATATATATATATATATATATATATATATATGATTACAAATTTTACTTCAAATAATTATAGCATAACTCGTTTTATATTTCCATATACTTTCTTATAGTTCCCATTTCACTTATATTTATTTATTTATTTGTTAATATCAAACAGACATAGGATATGCAAGCAGAATTAGAGAGGCAACTTCAGAATTTGTCGCATGTCGAACAATTTTCTGGGGCCTTTCTTCAATCCACCTTCTTCGATCCATTCTTCTTTATATATTTCAAACTTTAATTTTTGTGTTCGCGAACTGATCTATCAACACGCGATGCACATATTAAACTCTATAATTCATCGTCAGAGAACTTCAATGAAGAAAGAGCGCATCTTGGTTATTAGTTCTCAAAATAATATTGATAAACTCTGCGAGACGCTGACATATTATAAATAACTTAGATCGATAAAAACTTTACCAACGTTGTTATTTTGTGAATTAACAGTTATCAATGTTTAGAATTCATCACGCCTACGTCAAGGTCTGCCTACGGTAAATTTGCTAATTATGACTTCCAAGCAATAGAAGCGTAGCTGGATAATTTTAAGTTGTTATTCTACTGGTAAAACTAAATGAGTACAGACGATGGCTACATCATTGACCTCTTAATGTTGCCCACAATCCTATTCGGCTTTGAACCATCCTACCGTTACATCACAATAGACTAAATATTTAGACTTCAAATTTATGACAAGATTTTACCATTTATGATAAGATTTTACCTGATGAGGTGAACATATCTGTTCACGAAACATTGTACTTCAAAAAGAAAGTACGCTGTTCATCTGTTTTAAAATTCTTTTAATGTCAATTTCTGTATTGATTTAGACTCCTAATTGATTGTCTCTAACTTAAATATATCAAAAATCAGAAATATCAACATCATTTATTATTTTTTTCAACTAAATGGCGCATATAGAAGGTCGTTGTAAGTGTGCTTATTCGATACATCAGAAAAGACAATGAATTATTTGAATTTTTGTAGCTCACTACCAATGAATATGTTCTACGCTTGCGTACTCATAAAACATCGCGTGTATTGCAATGAAAATAATGAATGGAGATACTCTAAAGAAATAGTACCTTCATTTCTTGAAAAAAAAGAACATGTAGTTGAAAGAGATGTCGCATAAAAATAAAATTGAATAAAATATCACGAGTTTAATTTATCACAACCGTCGTTTTCCGTACGAGCATGTATGGATTCATAAATCACCGGCAGGATTTTGTTACAACAGTAGTAAATGTGTAAGTGAGTCCACATCTGTGAAAAAAAAGCGGGCCTACTGTTAAATGACCTTTTTTATGTGGGTTGTCGAGTTCTGCAAAAATAATTATAAATATGTCAAAGCTCCACACGATAGTCATTTAATAGTCATACTCTGATGTTCATGCATCAATCATCATAAAAAAGTACATGCTACCGAATGTGTACAAAGTCTCACAGACTATACAAGAGAAATAATTCCCAAAAGTCAATATCCCAAATAAAATACCCAGTTGTGCCATTATGAAAACGTGGACTACCTAAAGTGAGGATATAATCCTTCTTTTGCACAAAAAGTGCAAGGAGAGCGAAAAACTCAAAATCCTTTCTTAAAAGTATCAAAATCTACGGCAAATAAAGAGGATGAGTAAATAAGCATTACACAGCTCACAAGAGAAAACAAAACAGTGACCTAGATTTCTTCACCTGTAATCTGCGACACCTATGAAGCAGACACACAACAGTTTTAATACACGTAATTTGTTTTGTTTATAGTGTTTTTCATTTGTGCTATACTCCACAGAGCAGAAAATTGCTACATTGAAATAGAGAAAATATTCATTTTTTGATAAATCTCCGATATTCATTACTTATCTAGTATTTACAATTCAATATATTGGCTATTCGAAAACCTCAACTCAAAAACATTAACTTGTAATGGTCGGCTGAATTTACTAACAATGCCCAACGCTCCATGCGGCTAGAATGTTATCAAAAGGAGATACCAGCATACTTGAACTCCGAAGGTGTTTCCTGACGAAATCAGTATACTAAAAGTTTCGATCGCGAGTGAAATTTGGGGAATTGGGACCGCAGACGCTCGTAGGAAAAGTATACATGAAAAACTGTCACGCACGAGTGTCTCAACCTCTTCTCTTCATGAACCATTGAAAAAAAATAATTCTGCTGCCTACAGTTTTAGACATGTTGCCTTACTCAGTCTCAGTCTAAAATTTGTGATATAAGAAGGGTTTGCGCTGATAAATATTTTATCGCGTCATTATTCCTTCAAAAGACGAGGTTGTGGGAACAATGAAACAGTGAAATCATTTAGAAACAGTGCGAGCTAGGCTCGTGAACGACGCTTAACGGTGTATAGATAGATATTTGATTAGTTATTCGGGGCGCGTCAACTTCTAAGTTCATTAGTCCTATAAGTGTAGTGCGTGTGTTTTCCTTAAGAGGCGACAATCTTCCCCCGCTAGATGGTGCGATCCGGCACCGACCCATCGTCGACTAACGAGGTTCCACCAACCAGGTATCTCCCACTAGCGAGTCACCACCCCCGCCGGGACAAGCTGTAAACTCCCGACCGATCTCCCGGTATGTGTGGTATTGAAATGCATGTGTGTGTAATGGGTGAGGATAGGACAGGGAAGAGAAAGGAAAGATTGCGCGCGGTCCGTGGCCCGTTTATTAGAGTACTTCTATGGCAGTCGCCTCGTGTTGAGAAACCACGGAAAACTACGATCAGAGCAATTGGCCACTATAATTCTCCTCCAGATAGCGGATGAATTCGACCTAACTGTCAAACTAGTACTGAATATCCTGCTACATGGTGTATAGGGAATCACACGTATACTATCACTTCCGGTATGACAAACCTCTGACGTGCCGGTTGTAAAACTGTCGTCGCTACTTTATTGTTCACACAATTGATTGTGACCGTTTTACCACCATCCGGCGTGCCGCAGACTCGACAAACCTTGTTTGTGCGTGTATGGAGTCTCCATAAGGTTTCTACACATGAACAAGCTTCGCTCACAAGCTTGGATTGTGCCGGTTGTAAATCTGTTGCCGTCGTAATGTTTCCCGAAGTGCGAACAATGAATTAGTTTGCAGCAGCGTTCGAGATATAACTGGCCTGAGGCAGACTCGTCAAGCGACACTTGATCGAAGGTGTCTAGCTGAGCCGCTTAATTGCTGCAGTAACCAATACTACGAGTATTACTTTCCGAGTACGGCTTGGAAGAGGCAGTGACTCGACAAAAACTTTTTTGGCAGAAGAGCATTTTTCGTTATTTTTATTTGCTTCTAATTATATTCATTTAATTGTTAAATGAGGTAATTACGTTTTGGTCTGTTTATAAACACTACTCAATATTTAGTACTATGTGCGAATAATATGGACAATTTGAATTTTTGAAAAGAGTGACTAGAAATAATACTCATATTATTTAGTCGGTTATAATAGTTTAGTTTCATTTCTAGGAGTTAAACTACGCCGCTTTTATGTCGTCACACTTACATGCACGAACTATAGAATCGATGCGCGCGCGACTCTACATTCACCATTATCATTTCCTTAAAGGTTCGTTCAGAAAGAAACTTTAACGTAAATGTAACTTACATGCAAAATCCTGGAGTCATGTAATTGAATAGACCCATTCACAGTGCCGAAGGTGAATTTAAAAGTGATTTTAAACAATGAATCGTAACTGTCAAAGTAGGTAAGCAGCAAGCTCTAACATTAACTGTAACCTCATCTGAGAACAACGCGCAATCATGTACAGCAGCAAGATCCAAGGACAGACTGGCGTTTTCGTAAGCGTTTCAATCTAATGCAGTTTTTAAGTATGTAAATTGTCATTCATCATAATTGCTCACATAAGGTTCCACAGAATTATTTGACTTGATTATGGTATACGAAATAATTATCATCCGAACATGATAGTATCCATTCCACAAACTTATGGAATATTGAGGCTTTTGGGAAAAGTATTTAATGTCTCGTTATCGATGAGTGTCGTTTAGATTCCCTGTCGTTAAAGAACATTATTATGTGCTCGCGTTACGTTTTCGACAATGGACCTTCATATCTAATAATATAGAAAATAAGAAATTAAAATTAACAAAACAAAATCAAAAGAAAAAGCATTGTTCCAAAGGCTGTTCGGAGTACGTCCCCGTCAATGTGAAAAGCAGGTCACAAGCCAAATTGTTTTACTTTAAATAACATACATCCACATACACTAAATAAAAAACATACAAAACAAAAACAAATAAAGGCATTTATATTATCTACACCAATTAAAAAGTACATTACGACCCAAAGACTCTTGACATACCCCGGCAATGTAAAATATAAACCATTTGGTTGGTTGTTTTCATTTACATGATATACAGATTTATTTTAAATAATTTAAATCAACATATGTACGAATTAAATGTAATGTAATATAGTAAGACAAAAATTAACCAGCGGCACACCGAAGGAGGGCGGATGTGTGTGTGTGTGTGTGTGTTGTGGAGCTTCAATCTCCTCCCGCAAAGCCAATTATACATCAAAACAGCTTTTACTACTGTTTCTACTAACGAAAGTCATTAAATATATTAATTGATCAAGTTATAAATATTAATTATAAATCAACATATATATATATATATATATATATTATATTATATTCAGCATCAGTGGAAAAAGTCTTTATATAAAAACATCAAGTCAGTTTGAACATACTGGTACCCCACCCCGGAGAAAGTCCAGGGTGCTCTCTGAAATGAACAAAACAAAATTTAAGAAATTAAAAAAAAACCAACTGGTTCGTGGTTCTGCGTGGCGGCACGGGAGTTGGTCGCCCTGTGGCGGCGCGGCGGCGGCCGGCGGCGGCGGCGCCGGCGGCGGCGCGGCGCGCAGCTGCCGTCCTTCCTCCCCCTCCGCTCCCCCGCCCTGGTGGTGCGGCCGCGTAAAAGCGGCGCGCGGGCGGCGCGGCGGCCAGTGCGCGAGTGCGGGCGAGATTGGCGCGGGCGCGGGCGTGCAGATGCTGTGCTTGTGGTTGGTGTCGGCGGCGTGCGTGGCGGCGAGTGGCGCGGAGAGCGCGGCCTGCGGGCCGCGAGTGGCGGCGGCGGTAGTGAGCGCGCGCTGCGAGATGACGTTCGCGCGCTGCAGGTGCAGGTGGCGACGCTCCTGCAACGCCGCAGCGAGGACTTCAAGCTGCTGGAGGACTCGCTCAGGGGGTCTCTGGAGAAGAGCCTGGAGCTGAGCTCCCTGCGGTCGCAGGTCGACGCGCTCAGGTGAGTTGTCACCCACGGGTGTAGACGCACGGATTATTTATTTGTGTCTCAAGTGGTTCAATTAAAACCTCTTTCGGCGGTTTCACTGCCATTCAAAATTGAGCTTTAGGTCGTCCCGATGGGCTAGGTGGTTAGCCAATTCAGTTTTGATTTTAGGGGTCGTGTGTTTCTAACTAATCATACATGTGAATATTAGTCCCTTGTCTTTTGTGTGTTGTGTCGAGTTGAGTCCACCCTAGAGTCGATGAACGCTCAGACGTACCTGTGTGTTGTGTTGGGAAAAACCGTCACTGTTAAGAGTTAGCGGTTTCAATTGTTAAAAGCACTAATAAAAGTGTGACATATTCAATCTTCATTCTCAATGCATGTACCCGTTTTATTTTTATGATGCATCCGCAGCTAAACTACATTTAGTATTTTACGAGAAACGTACTACAAATTGGTGCTGTATTCAAAATATCGGTTATTTTATCATTTGAATGTAAAAGCTCGAATTTTCTCTTAAAATGCCATCTTTTTAAGTCACGAAGAGAATATAAGTTGCCCCTTTTTTGAATTGCACGCGTGTCACGTGCCACACACCACGTGCGTCTCGCTCGCGCTCACGCCGTAGCAGGCTCATGACGAATACGTGTGTCCCATAAACTGTTTTAAAATCGTTAGTTTCGATACTTTTAAACATTGCCAGTTTTGTTTTGCTGTTCAACAGATTTTTTGCTTCCATGCATTTTAATGAAATCTCACATATTTTATCCTCAAAAATATTAAGGCGTAACTTTTCCGAAATGAGAGAAAAATAAATGAGTCTTCAGAAGGGCAGGCGGTTGTTTGTATCAGTAGCTTGAGTCCAGTTGTAAATGTAATCTTCACTTTTGCGAAGTTCTTATCTCTAATTCATAATGTTTCGTAATTTAGCTCTCCAAGTTCTCCTTTTCCTCGAAGTGGTATCTTCTCGCTTTTCTATTAACCATCAAGAAAGAACTGTTGTCATTTCTTGATGCAAGAAGAGCAAATACCCCCATGGATCTTTAACGCAGTAGCTTCGGCGTCTCAAGACATGGTGTTCTCCTGTTGTTTCTTTAATGTCCTTTACTTCACACTTGTGTGTTTTTCTTGCATAACCAGTTTAAAATAGGCGATGGAAGTACTAAAGGCAATCTAAGTATCATCAGCAACATTTCTTTACTCAGCCCTTCTGGGAGAAGTGACAGTTTCAGCAGCTCTGGTTGAGAAGATGCCAATCACGGAAGTTTACGATGCTGCGCAGTTCTTTGGGAGCAACTGTTTGAGCGGAGTGTGTGAGGAAAAGAATAACCTGTACTATTTTTTCGTTCGGTTGAAATCGTTGACTCGAGTGTGTCGTGGCTCTATACGAGTCATGTTCTGTGTCGTGAACGTGTTGTGTGCTCTTCCCTATTGCTTAAGCATTAGAGGTGCGTAAGGGTAACCGTGCATGTGTATTAGTTTGCACCTGCGCATCGATTCAGAGCTCCCCACCACGACATAGAAACGGCGTATTATGACAACTAGAAATCAGTCTCCACGAATAACAGAAACACGCTATCATAACCGAGTACGTATTGTTTGTATTAGTCACGTCGTACGTCATCAAAAAATCAAGATTATTATTAAATCAAGATCTTATTAAAACATTGTAATAAAACGTGTTGTTTGCAGAAAGATCGAAAAGTAATCACTTCATTTCATTCTTCATTAAGTGAAGAGAATTAGAAGTAAATAAAACAGAAGGAACGTGCCGTTTTGTCAACGAAAAAGTTCGTCTTTCTGCCGAGTACAAACTTGGCTGTTTGTCTAAAGAAATCGGACGTTTAAAGGAAACATTCGAGTTCTTTCAAGACGCTCGTTTTATTCTACAATTGACAAACTGCCCATTCGTTTCAAATATGCATCTTTTGAGGAGGTGCAGCGCAGTGAGGTGCCCCGATTGAGCAAAGAGTAGCAAGGGCCTCAGTGCGGAGCGGTCTTCGAGCGGTAGCGGCTGGCGCACTCCGAAGAGGGTTGATGGGTATTCGGGCGACGTGGGGGGGGGGGCGGCGGGGGTGAAGGGAAGTGCAGCTGCCCTGGGCCCCTGGAGCCCTTATCTCCTTCCGGCCGGAAGTCGCCTTTACCAACTTGTAGACACACGCCGGGACTCAAACGGCTCTTTGTGCTCACCTTCCGCAGCCAAAGTTAGGCGAATCTCAAGGCCAGTGGGGAGTCAAAGCACTTTATTGAGTAGTTTTAAACGTTTTATACGTATTTATTTAAAATATAGTATGTAGATATGCTGGTAAAACGTTTTATAGAAAGGCTCGAGCAATCAATAAGTCATAGATACTTCAGTGAAAATCAAAGCATTTCCCATCCCTTAAGTTGTGAAGAATTCACTAGGAAACATCAGTAAAAGAAAACAAGATTTCGAGTCTCTAATAAGGAAATGTACTACTACATAAACGCTTCTTCGACATTAAGCGTTTCCAGATGCATCTGAGTTCTTTCATTCGAAAAATCATATTATCCCCTCACTTGTCAATGATACTACATTTTCATGTCTATGTTACAATTCTTCCAAATTGTGGTTGTCCTCATTATATATACATTATCCTAAATATATGTTTTGCATGTTGCATAAAAAGTTATACTAGTAAGTGGAAACCGCAATATTTAATAGGGAGATTAATAAGAATACACCAAATTGCTGGCTTCGTGACACGTACGTAGTTAATGTGTTTGGCGCCCTATAGTTAGTGGTTTCTGTTTGGAATCATAATGAAGTTTATGTATTATGTTGAAATATATAATTGAAATTATTCAGCTTAACTTAGCAAGAATAATATAATTAAACTCTTTAAATACTCATTATTTTCTTTTTATGTAATTTGACGTTTTTTAGAATGTTTTGAGGCATTTTAAGAAAATATATGCCTACGAGCAATGTTAGTTCTCATAATTTCAGTTTTGGGCGCTCGGGGCGAGGCGAATTCAAAGGCGCGGGTCAAGGCCCAGCGAGCCCTTTGGGCAGTGGCGCGTGACCGAAGGAGTCGCGGTGGCTCAGGCTGTTTCGGGGCGACGTTCCGAGAAACCAGGGTGACCAGAGGGCGGTGACGGAGGCGCGGCGGGGGC